GGCTATTTGAACACCAGGGTTTTGAAGACCCTCCAGCGTTCGTCTCATTATTTCATCGATCACAAAGTTAAAAAGGAATGGAGAGAGTGGGCATCCCTGACGGACACCGCTTTGTGTGCGGAAGCTTTTGGAGAGCTCTCCGTACACTCTCACACGTCCGGAAGTGTACCCTTTGTGTACCCATTGAGCTATACTGGGAGGTGTCCGTGCGACACTCGCAGTCTCGCATATCAGGTTGGTCAATGTTTAGGGGTCTGACGAAGAGGTTCCTGGGCCCTCCAGGTTGGGGCTTGTAAGATGTAGCGATTTATTCTGTAAAAATTGAAATGCACTTGCATTTCCCGCCAAACACCGCTGTCTTGCGGCCAGACTTTTAAGCCGAAAGCTTTGGTTGGGGACCCTAATCGTCCAATTGTCTAGGTGTGGGCGCCCCGGCAGTATCCTAGCCCACGTACAACCATTAATTGCACATACACAAATAAACTCATGCCACATCGGCCGTCACGTAGTGTCATCAGCAGGGTCGCCTAATTTGCTGCATACAGCGGGGCGGGTAAGCAAAAACAGGCCACTGAGAATAACCAGGAAACGATCGCTGAAATACGGTAAGTAGAGATTCAGACGAGCAGCAGCTCGTAAGTTGAACCAAAGCATAAGGTAAATGCGGTTATGGTAAGTGCTGAATAGGAGGAACTACTTCGGGAAGAATTCTTCGGGAGACGATCCCGTCAATCGGTATACTGTGTCTGTACTATTCATCGGATGATCGTTTACAAACCCCACCGCGTGTTGTGTAGGAACGTAAACAAATCGTTAAGCCTGAATGCATAAATGTTACATCAAATACGACGTAGAATGTCCCAACTCCCTTAGGTGTCCCCCGGGTTATCATTCCTTCTTTACAAATCTCTTTTGCATCTCTATCTACAGTGTAATCCTAAGGTCAGAGTAATTCAACTTTCACAATACTGCAGTCGACGAACAACTATTGGTCTCATTTTGGGAGGTCTGCAATGTTATGAACAACTGTTGGTCTCATTTTGGGAGGTCTGCAATGTTCCAACAGGTTGTGCTCTCCACTAACGATAACCGACTTACGTATGAATGGTTGTGACAGGTGAACATCGCTGAACCTCATGAGATGCGCACTGTTGATAATTAGTCCAAAAAAGGATGAAAAAGCTGTACTGTGCTTCTCAGTATAGATTGGTTTCCCTGGCAGGATGAAATCTCTGTCAGAAAGTATAGGATCACCACACCACCATCAATCAATGGAATCACTTTGAAAAACGAATTTAGTTACGACAAGTGTGGGAAACATACCATGTGGACATTTCATGAAAATGCCTTCGAGCGTTTCTGTTCGTACGCCAGTATCGATCGCATTCACGGCACTCACTCCGAAAGAGTAAGTAGTTTCAGGAATCAGTTTATCCAAACGACAAACAAACATATCGTCCTCGGGGATCTTTGACGACGCATCCACAGTGGTGACTAAACTCCACTCACGGGCATAACTCCTTGCAGTGGCACCAGGAGCAGGTGCAACCAACCGCTGTTCAACCCGATACGATGTCACAGGACTTCCACCATCGTCACCCTCTGCCGGTGGCTTCCAGAGCAGTACTAGTTCTGTCGCTGATTCCACGTTGGCCTCAAGTGCACGCACGGGACCAGGGCCTGATAATACTTTCAGTGTGAGCAACGCCTTGGCCTCTCCAAATTTGTTCCTAATTACCGCCTCATACATTCCAGCATCTGTGCGTTCCACCTTTGTGAACACGATTGCTGCTTTACCCAGCATATCATTGCGAGGCACAGCACGTTTGTTTCCATCCGGAAGTATAGGATTTCCGTTCCAATACCAGTCAATCTGATCAACCTTAGGAGCAGCCATGAAGGGAATCTCAACGGTGCGGCTAGCACCCTGATTGAGAACAATAGTGTCTTCGAAATTCTCCGGGAGGCACAGCCGTGGAGCAACTGGAAAGTGAATTGTGAATATAGGATGACTTAATCAAGGCTTATAATAGTTGGTGGTACAAAAGTTCGACTATTAATTCATCATCATCCAGTCCATTGTACAACTGGGACTGGCAGTTTGAGATTACACGGGATAGCTTTTTAGCAACACAACTATGATATAGTACACGGTTCATTTTCAAGACAAATTCAACGTTTGAGAACAAACGATATACTGGATAAAACCCTGATGCCCCGAGAGCATAAATCGGTCAGAATGGATTAGTTTGAGCAGTAATCAACACTGATGTAGTTCGAACTTACGTTCTAAGGCAAACGTAGCCTTCGATTCAAGTTTGTCCACTTTGATTGAGTATTCACCAATATCCTCTGGCGTGACCTTGAGGATTTCAAGTCGCTGAGATAGGACGTCATCTGTAATCCTGTATTTACGTATCTGGGCAGCATCCAAACGCTTGCCGTTGTGGAACCATTGGACTTTTTGGGCTGCTTTTGAGATACCACATTCGAAGGACACCACTTCCGGGAGGGAATCAGCCAGGACTGATTCGAGCTCTTTTGTAATTGCAAGTGGCGCGTCTATTGAAAAGATGCAAGTACGAACAGTAAGTTTCCACCCAGTAGTGTGGAAACAGGCATGAAAGGGGTTACACTATTAGATACAAAGAATTTCAACTGTTACGGTTTTTAGTTGACTTCACCAGCGTCACCATACCAAAGGCTAAATTCGCGATGTGGAGATAAAAGAAACTACTGCTTTTTATCCCGATTTATTGTTAAATATTCTACCAGAACACAAATGTCTCAGGACCTATTTTTTAAAGACCAAGTGTGTGAAAACGGACACCATTCCTGTTCTGGTATGGTAAGGCTCAACTACAACAAAACAAAACAGGGAACTGACCTTTCTTCAGGTAAATCTGATTGGAAGGCTTGGACGGTTCTCCAACCCCTTCCTTATTCACACCTCGTACTCGGAACAGGTAGCGCTTCGAATTATCCAGTTTATGCGCCACAAATTCGCACGCATCTGGTGTGGTGGTTGTCCCAACAACTTTCCAGTCACCTTCTCCATCCTCGTCCAGTTCTACTTGATATGCGTCAGCCGGGCCAAAATCTTCTGTTTCAGTCACAGGAATCCAGGAAACTTTGACACTGGAATCACTTAGAGCCTCTGCGGACGGTGTTCCTGGTTTGTTAGGTACGCGAGGACCTTATTCCAAAAGAGAGAGTCAATCAATCCAATTGTGAAAAGATTGCCTATGAACACTGTGACTGACGATACGGAAGACTGGAAAAGCATAGTTAAACTAATGAGACTATCGTTCCTAACATACAGCCCTCTTTTTAATTAGATAGCCATTTGGAACAGATACTGTCTGTAGTTCTATGAGATTATATCAGATATAGACAGCCAGGTAGAACCTTTGTTTAAAATGAACTGAACCGACCGAACCGTGCTGCAATGCTGATAGTCTCCAGAGCAATGAAATGTCACCACGGTCAAGATGCTCAAATGAGTGATTAACAATATACAGGTTGGTTTACCAAGCGACTCACCTTTGACTAAAGGTACACAAGAGTCACTGGGCTGGCTGAAACTTCCAGGACCCGCCTTGTTCACAGCTCGAACTCGGAACTCATACTGCATATCAGGGGATAAACCTTCGATTTCCGCTTCTGGTTGCGCGTCTGGCGCGAACTGGATTCCTCTTGTCACCGTAGAAAACTTTGGTTTCACTCCAACGGATGAAGTGCGGCGTTGACCTGGGACAGGTATGCGGGTTGGCAAACTTTCAATCTCGTACGCAACAATTGGGGATCCACCATCAGATGAAGGAGCTGTCCAGTGCAGAGCAATCTTCCCAGTTTCTTTTACTGTCACAGTCGGTTTCCCGGGAGCTTCCGGTACATCTGATAGGGGCAAAAAATATTTACAGTTGAATACATCAGAAGCTACTTAGACATCGATCAGAGGTTTCTACACGCTAAAGAAAAGTTGGAGAAAAGTAAATTAAAAAGCCACTGAAGTCTGCGAGATAGAACAGAAGACTTCTGAAATCAGCTAGTGACAATTCAGTGTGTAAAATGGGGAAGGTTGAATGGACTGAAAACGGAATCACCCCAGGGAAAGAATCAGCTTCAAGGAGTCACTGAGCAGAAGCGATGAGCTACTCAATATCTATAGTTTGTTACAAGGCATGGACGGGTTTGGCATGCGAGTGGTAAATAAGATGCAATCCAGTCAGTTAAGTTAAGTCTCATCATTCTACTGGTTCCTTCGTAAAATACACAAACGGCAAATTAGGGTATTAATTTTCAGAACGACATGGAACCCATATTAAAACAAATAAATGTTGCGCCAAAGTGAATTTTGAACCACAAAAATTACACCTCAAGAGAAGTGGAAAATGTCAAGAAGGCCATCTAACAAGTTGCAAAACAAAAATGGTGGGTTTTGGGCGGCTGCTGACCTATTCAAACAATCCTCTGACTACTCATAAGTAGTCAGAGTGTTGATATGAATAGCTTGGCATTTGTCCCGAGGTCGCGGTGAAAATAAGGTCGGATCCTGAAAAACTTAGCAATACTCGTCCTGTTAGAAACAGTTCGTTAACCAAAAAGTCATGTATCTGATTACCCGTCACCCAACTGGTGAGTAGCAGTAACTAAAAAAATTGCTCGCGACCGGACCAGCCTTTCAAAAGCAAGAGCAAAGTAAATGTGATTAGCCGCAAAGGTAGATGCGTACAGTCAACTCACCGAAGGCGAATTTCGCTGTAACTGGCTGAGTTTCTGCAGCTTGTGAATCTCCAACTTCGTTCCTGGCCAAGACAGAAAATACATAGTCTTTACCAACTTGTAGCCCTTCGATTGTGTGCTTAAGGTCAGTGACCGTAGCCACGATCGTTGCTTGAGTTCCTCGTTTACTCGCATCACGTACACTCACAACATACTCCAAGGGACTATCACATCCACCAAGGTCTTCCGGTGGGTTCCATTCAAAGACGACAGTCTCTCCATTGTTCTCAGTGACTCGGGGTTTTCTAGGCGCTGACGGTTTGTCAATAACGGTGACATGAGTCACTTGTGAGATCTGCCCTAATTCGTTCTTAATAGTAACCTTGTATGCACCGCTATCCTCACGACGAACACGACTAAGTGGAAGCGTCGTCAATCCGGCTACGATATCTGGCTTGAATCGGGGCCGTTGTTCCTGTGTTGGGTTTGAACTTGATGCCCACGTCCAATCGACCTGGGGTTTCGGTGTCGAGACAAACGGAACTTCGAGTATTTTGGACGAACCAGCCTTGAGTATGATCCGATCTTGGAAATCTTCAGAAAATAGCACTGCTGGAGGAGCTGGAAAGTAACAACATAAGTTTGCAGTTATTGAAAGCGATCACTGAGGACGACCCGAAACACAAATGAGTGAATTCAAGTGACGACCATTATGGTGTCGAATTCCGAAGCTTCAGGGGGAATCAAAGAGTCTCATACTTGTTACCCTGATTGTGGACATCATGCTTTGTACGAATCGCTGTACGAAATCTACTCTTAGAATTTCGTGAACGCCATGGAAATGGCTGCGCATAATGACATGAAGAGTTTAGTCCGAATATTAATCAGATGATCATTGATCTGTACGCCGAGATTAGTAATCAGTCTGTAAATATTTCGTCAACCATCGAGAAGACCTCATCCGTGCGCAGTTCGGTGGGTCACTGTCTCAACTGAAAACGTTGACTACGATAACACCTAGGAAATGAAGTAAAGTTATAGGATTCATTGTCTAGACGAAATACACTACTCGTAGGGTTACTGAAAACTCCTCGGTAAATATGCTAAAAAAGAGATGCATGTGTATTGAATGTAGTCTCTCTTCAAAATCAAATTAATGTACTAATGAGTGCATTCTGTGGATCATGGAATCCACAGCGGGGTGAACTGAGGATATTCTAGATATGCATGTACCGTAGCCTCTGTTTGGATGCCAAACAGTAACCATATGTTATGACGAATCTTATACAACAGATAAACAAGTTACCGTGTACCTCCCCTTAAACGATGAACCCTAGTGAACAACTGTATGGGTTGCTCTAGGGAGAGTTACCCTTGTGGGAGAACCGATACTACTATACGGAGTTTAACCATTTTATAGCTACCTCATGGGTCAAGGAATTTGTCATAATTAGTCCACTTAAAATTAGTTCTGGTCATGTATTCGTGAGGAAAAGTCCATTCTGGAAATGCTTGTAAATCATACCGAACTTCGGTATTTTTTCTAAATGGCATAAGGTCCAATGTCGTCAATGGTTACCTTACCCTTGTTTTCAAAAACAGTTCACAGGTCCTCCACTGGAGCTGATAAAATCGAGTTTGCTGACAATCCCACCGTATATCTACACTACTCCTAGGGTCGACGAAAACTATGAACAGCCAAATATCAGTTTCGCCCTTCTTGAAAATCATAAAATAAGCGGTCTCAAGTATACCCAACCAAACATCACGATTACTCCCCTATCTATTCGCTCACTTCGCGCGTGTGCTTATTGATCACCGTCACGGCCTCCGTACCCACTACTCGCCTTGCTGCGAAGGTCGCCGCGTCCGAGACTATGCTAGCATGTGTGTGTCACTGACCAGACGCGCCCGTGCTCAATCTACTGAGTCTTCCCTGACCAGTCCTGTCGTGCTACCTGTGTGATCGCACAGGCAATCAGAATAACGGAATTGGGACCGGAAGGGATGATCGCAACCTACGCCGACAATCCACTTGCCGTTTTCTGGCCTGTGGACTTTGACGCTGTGCTGCGCAGGTCAGTGACAAACTTGCGAACTCGACGCCATCAACGTGGATAATTGAGGTTTGTTGTGTAATTCCAATTACTTGTGTGTAGACTTTCGAACCCAGTTCTTCCGTTTGATATTCGGGACCGTGAAACCTACCCGCATCGGGAAACTCAGCAGTCTCCGAATCTCCACCAGCCCTATTTTTTACGTGCACTCCAAACTATACTTATGTCATGATGAACACTCATTTGCGACTCAAGTTGGTGTTGGCGGGAGACCCAGCGACTCGATTCTCTCGTTCCTAACAGTAAAAGCAATAATAACAATGATAATTCGTAGTTTATCGGAAGAAATCCACTGTATGGTGGTGAGGATTCAGGAACTGGGTTTATTCGTGGATCCCAGTGACGGTGAAACCAGAAGTGGGCTGTCAACAGTTTTCATTGACCTTGCTACTAGCAGTAAAACACACTTTGATACCTTGAATATTGTCCCAACTGAAAAATGAGGCGGAAATCGTATTGTTTTAATTGATTAGACCCCACTGGCCTCACCCTACTCCTATTGACGATAAACACTTCGGAACCGAAGTTTCCCTATCATTAGCAAATTTATTTAGTGTCAAAGGGGAACTTAACTGAATCTCTAGTTTGTGTTATTGCTTGACTGAATATGCCCCACAAAGACTGCCTCATATTTCAGCGATAACGATACTCAGTATGTCGAAGTGATTCTCTCGATACGACACTACTTATAAGGTTGAAAATTCTTTGAATAGTTCTCACCAGCCTTATAAGTAGTAGTTTATAGATAGGAAAATATAACTGAACTAAACAGACCCCAACTGATGTCTGAATTTAGCCACTCATCCACACATAGGCTTCATGTAGCTGTAGCAACGGAATGGACTGAAAGTAGTATGAGGGGAACACAAATATAGGGTTCCTGCATTCAACAAGCTTCAGTTAACCTACCTTTGATTTCCACTTTGGCCTGGCCCGATAGATGCTCAACCTGGATGGCATATTCACCCACATCTGCGTCCGTGATACGTTCGAACACAATTCCTTGAAGTGTACCCTCATTCACAAAGCGGACTCTAGTCTCATTTGGAGGAATGGTGAAGGGCTTCTTGTCCTTAGTCCATGATACAGCTGTCCTTGGATTGCGCGACAACTCGCAGTCCAACCGATAGGGAGTTGGTTTCACTTCAACGATCACAAGATCCTCTAATGGTCTTTCGAATTCCAGCGCAACGCCTGCATAAACGCATAAAGAAGCAAAACGGGACGGTCATTGAGTTAGACAGCACCGCACAGATTACATATGTATCCGATTTTCCCGACATTTCATTTCTCCTCACACATTCTGGTCAGCGAATGAGGTAAACACATCAACATATTGAAAACTTACCAAGTTCAATCTGATTTGATGGGCTGGATGGTTCACTGGTTCCAGCTTTGTTCACAGCAGCGACTCTGAATTCGTAAAGTTTCTCAGGACTCATTGATTCCTCTTTTGCCAGGAACGTCAGTTCGGGATTTGTGATTGTCTGGGATTTGGCCACTGGCTGCCATGTTCGTCCACCAGCAACTCGCATCTCAACCAGATAATGCGATGGACGTGATTCAGCCGGTGCCGAATCCGCGACTGGTGGACTGTCCCAACTCAGATGAACACTTTGTACTTCCGGTTCAGCACGAGTTGGACTGACAGACGCACGGACATTGGTCGGTGCCGATGGAACATCTATGCGGGTAATCATGAGATCCGGGATAGTCGAAGTGATAAATCGAGAGATTCACTACCAGCAAAGTAAAACTTAGCCCTTATTGAATGACAAATGTCAATGGAATGTAGAACACGCGATCAAGTGCGAACAGTCTATCGTGACGAAGTAATGAAAACCTCTTACCATTCGAAGCATCCTGTACCGTTATCATTCTGACTGGAAAATGATCAGGCATTTGGATGTCATCTATCCATAACAGATCGGTTTCTTATATCTCCTGCAGAAGCCTTTTAAGTTTGATGCGTGCGGGCTGTCTCTTACGCAATCGACGTATGTTAGAGTATAAGCTTATTCCGTTAAAAAGCATAACCGTTAGTGCCGGGTGAACATCTGAGAACGAGTTCGTATACAAAAATAATTCGAAATTCCCCCAATCCACCAACGCAACCACACCAGCCGACAAGAGCCGTTAATTGACACTCAACAATGATCTATTGTGATAATCTGAAGAGGACTTACTGATTGGTTCCCCGTCTGTCTTATGACCTGGCCAGTTTGGTGACCTGACCTGCTAGCCTGATGAAGATTTTGTGTCAAAAGCGAAACGCTGTTCAAATAAAAAAACTACCGATCGTTTACCAAGCCCTTCTGAAACGATTACTTCTCAATCGATTCCAACCTTTTCCCAATTGATTAGAAAAAACTCGTTCAGCAGCAAAGTAGGCGTAGATAAAGGGTCGATTGACCTACGCCCTGACCACACCAATTCCGCAAAGCTCGAGTATTTCACACAGTTTTCCGATCATCCAATCGGCACGTTGCATTTTCGCGCGGATGTTTTCACCTACGCACCTGCGCATGAACCATTTAACGGGAAATGACAGGCGACTTTCACACTCAAGTTCGTGAGTATAGATCATCAGCACGCAGCAACTCGGCACAGCTGAGTCAGGCTATCAAGGCACTCGACCCCCCCCCCCAGAACTCTTGGATAGACAGACCGGTCAAACTCCAACAGACCGAGTGCTAATTCGACGGTGAGTGATAGCGGACAAGCAAACATGGCGAAACTCACCCAGGCTCAGCAACCGAACAACCTATGGCTGTCAGTGGCCACCAGGTGCAGTCAGGACGCGTCAGCGAACTGTCAGAAACCCACCGTTGGAGGTGCAAATATGCGCAAGCAGGAGTCAGTCTTGTCGATTGCAGTTCCAGGGAAAGCTATTGGCTGGACCGTAGGATACTTCAATAATCAATTTAGACGTATCACTTTGATTTTTTCCAGAAAAATTTTAATGCTTTTTTGCTAACTTTGAAGCCTTTGGTGAAGACAGCCAACCAAACGGCGATCGGAAATCGATCAATTCTTAAATTGTTTCACTGAATTATAAGAGGGTTGTCCTAATATAGTGTGCGCAAGTTTTTGTAGCGCCATCAGATCCGAAAGGTGGCCGAAAAGGAAGACATGAATCTTCACTTGGGGGATTGCTGCACTTTTGGAGCGTTACTACTCAAATCTTTGTCGATCCTCTTAATGCGATACACCAGGGCCATCTCACTTTTCAGTGCGATGGTTATTCGAAATACGAGAAGGCCTGTACTCATTCAATGGAAATTCCATGTTTATCTGCTGGCCATGTTCTTCGAAGATCAGTGAGATGTAAGAAACCTCGGTGTTACCCTGGCTGCTAACTTCAGTTGTTCGTCCCACGTTCAAACTCTCGTGCACCAGGGGCCGTGGGTTTGAGCTCCTAATCTGCTGTTACTTGTCCGACACCCCCAAACTCGGGGTGAGAGCAACGTCGGTCGTCTCCACGCGACGATGCCAGCGCCAGACGCAGGCATGTGCGTGAGCAGATTCGTGTGAGAACGCGACGTATACCTCAAATGGTCAAAATACTGGGCGAAATATTCAGGTTGTGCAGATGCGGTGGAGTCATAGCGGGCTAAAGCATGGATGAATGAATAGAATCGGGAACGTAAATATTTTCCAGTAGTAGAGAGGTGACATACTCGTTCGTTCATGGTGAGATTTTTATCACTGTTTATTGTTACTTCCTTTGAGATGCTAATCGCCTTCCAACTTGGTGTCCTTTCTCATCTTGGAGATAACCGTACAAACTACGTGGTTCCCCTACGATAAAAACTGGGTTGAATCCGTTCTATATCTTCAGCATACCTTACATACACTGTTATTCAGTAGGTGATGTATTTCACAAACTGGCATGCGTCAGCGATCTACCGTTGACATTGAATTGCACTGTAGACCAGTTTCCTTTGTGAGATCTTGCACTGGAGCATGATGACAAATTCTAGCACAGCTTAGCCAAGTTCAAATTTACGGTCTAACATACAAAATGTGGGGTCCTTGAGTAGTGTGGTGCTCAACGGGAGGGCACCGACATTTCCTAATTGCTTGAGAGCAGTGTGATTTCATTGATTTTATTGGGCTTTTAACCTCCCGTGCGGAAGTAGACTAGGAATCGCTGATGTGAAAGTATTAGCGAAATTGGCCCCGATAGCTGCTTGATGCTGTAGCCACCCTTTCGCCACATACATGACTGTACAGGTCACCGACACTCGCTAGATCACGAGATCCGTCTTTTTTTACACTCACAATTCACGTCACAGAATCGTGACTCATTTGACTACACAGATCACAGTCAAGCCCTTGACCCCTAGACTCGTCTTCTTTCCCCCCACGTACAAAACACACAGACTCATCTGACATCGACTGTCTACCGTCCGATGAGGTAGCAACAAGTCATGTGCTGACGTCCACACACACACAAACGTTCCTACACATAGGATAACAGCACAGCAACACAACACACCGCAACAGAGCTTCGCATGTCATCCAACTCGGGGCAGAGCCGCTCAGGACTTACGGCGCTTCACTCAGGCTTCACTCACGGATAGTCAGTAAATACGTGTGGCTGCTACAACAGCGAAGACACGAAAACCTGAATCCGGACTTACAACAGAATTAATCAAACTGTACCTGCAAAACGATAAGTCCCTTGTTTGCATATATACCTGTCGTAATAATTTTACTCAACAAGCAGACATTGTTAGTGCTCCCCGTTTTCTCGTTCATATAACTAATTTTCGGGTTCTAGTGGAGCATTAACAATGTGTCTCAAAAAGGCACTCGTGCCAACGAACAGAAATGAGTATAAGAATGAAAAGTACATTAAACCTGAGATTCCAATCAGCCATACTGGCTCCGCCACCATAGGAGAAACATGGTGATTACTGCACCGACAAAGTTCTCTATGGGAGGAAATGTAGTACCACATCTTTCGAGGAAATTCTGTCATAACAGAAACAGCTTACTCTCTTGGAGAAAGGAAAGTTCTTCTAGTTCAGTCTGCAAGACCATCGACAGATTGGCTCTATAGAGTGTAGGAAAACCAGAACCAAGGAGAGTGTGGTAAAAGTTATCAGGGACCGACAGCCAGCGACACAACAGAACACGGCTGATTTTCAGCGGGAAGTGGAAGGGGGGACATTCTCCTCCCAAATCGATTAGGAAGCAAGTCCTGATTCCTTAAATGGTTCTAATGCTCCCTTAGAACAGACATCATAATGGAAATGGCCTGAATTTTGATCCCGATCCATCATCACTACTGGTAGATCAACCGTTCGAATTCAAGGTTCCAAGGGTTACAGCAGAACAAGCGGGCTTGGCACTTTGGTTATACCACCTCTAACTGTTACGGCAAGTTTCTGACTTGACTTGACTTGACTTCATTTAGCAGTGGACAACTCAACCTTGGATACACAAAGTACTCTTTCTTGGAACGATCCACAGTTGAAATGCCCATTGAAGACATTACAGCTGAAAGATAACTCAATAATCGTTGAATTCCGGGTAATCCAACCTAGAAGTAACCTTTCTTTTTATGGTTCTTGTTAAACTTTAGCACAGTGAAAACGATCATTATCTAACTTCCTAGATGATGGGGTCTAAAGAATAGTATATAGTACGGTAGTTCACGTTCACAATTTTACGTCAGCACGTGAATCATGGGGGTGGGCAAGGGCAAGGAATACCTGGAGCACCTACTCCCATCCTCATGGAAGCCGTTTGAAAGTACCTCGCTACAGGCGACGGCTTGTCGCTCCAGTGTAGACAGTTCACACCAGTCAAACTTTCGAGGAAACACCATCAGGAACACACTTTGGAACTATCAAGAAGGGAGCATTGTGCTGGCTGGTCAATGCGTATCTACTCCCGTTTAAAGAACTATGTCCACTCCCGGCATACCACCGGAAATGAACGAAAGCTGCTGCTGTCGCCAGGATTCGAACCTGGGTTCTTGCGGCCACAACACAATGTCCTAACCGCTAGATTACGACGGCGGGTTGCGCCCTTCAATATACTCGACTGAGCCGTGCAAACGCTTTAACTCACCGTAGCTTAATTTCATAAGAATCGGCTGGGTTTCCACAAAGTCCGACTGTCCCACCTCGGTCTTGCAGGCTACAGAAAATATGTACGATTTGCCAACAGTCAATCCTTTGGTAACCGGCATCGCCATGTCCGGTGTAGTGCCAACTGATTTAGTTGAACGTGTCGACGCTTCACGGAATTCAACCACGTATTCCACTACACCTTCAGCTCCGCCAAGCTGTTCCGGAGCCTCCCACGTGAGTACAAGCGAATTCTCTGTCACATCTTTTGGCAATAAGTTACGAGGTGGGGACGGCTTGTCCTGCACAATCAACTTCACTTTGGCAGTTACCTCTCCCAGTCTGTTCCGAATTACCACGCGATAGTCTCCGGCATCTTCCATTTGTACTTTATTCAGGTTCAGCCGCGTCATAGACATGTTGGTTTCATCTCTGAACCGTGGTTTCTGGTCGCCTCGTTTGGCCGATATCAGTGTGCATGTCCATTCGACTGTCGGTTTTGGGACTGCTACGAATGGGATCTCTATTGTGGATGAAGCACCGACCTTCAGTATTAGTTTATCACTGAACGTCTCTGACAGGCGTAGCGTCGGCGATACTGGAAAAACGAAAGATGAACGTAATGGAGTTTTAGACAAAAGAAGGAGCTTGATCAACGTTTTCAGTGTGTTGACAGCATGTTAAACTCTGCCCTCACCTCAACATCTCCAATCAACTGTCTTCAAAAGGTGACCAGGCTTCAGGGGGACCACTTCATTTTGAACCCCTAAGTCTGAAGCATTCAAGTCAGATCAGATCAAGTACTGTTTCAATGAGTGTTTAGAGTGATGGGCCACACAGCCACCTCGCAGTATGGAAATATGCTGAATTAGGCTTACTCTATTCCAGGCCATAACCCGGTAGTCGACATAGCACTGAAAGAGAAACGAAGTTTTTGGACTAGAACTTTCACCCAACCATTTGCATCAAATTGTCAACTCTGTAAGATCGATAGATCTTCTGTCAATTAGTTTGGTCGGCTCAAACCAATCGCGAGCGAAATACTTCGGTATGGTAGAACACTTACTCTCGGTTAAAGTGCTTTAGTAGAACACCTTCTCACAGGGCTGCCATGGAAGCAACTTATGCAAGGAATTATGAAGTTTCTTACCGCTAAACTGAGACTAGATGCGTGTTATGTGCTATATAACCATCATACAGTTAACACAAGAAAAAGTCGGAAATGTTATTACTGTTCATAATAAGGGGCATGGGTGGTCATTTATGCGGGAACATCACAAACTGCGTACTAAACTATAATCGCGATTCTCGTAATCAAAAGTCACGCACTCAGCATGCCCTTTACTGATCCCAAAAGAACAACCACGTCCTTTGACAATAGGTCATCGTTGTTCCATATTTTGGCTGGCTTGGGTACAGTGTGCTTGAGCAGTGCCATCGTCGGTTTGTGAAAAGGGTACCATGGTTGCTTACTGCTTAGATGAATTATTTTTTAGTCCTCTTGAACGTTCCTTCCCAGCTCAGATTTAGGAACGATGAACCTCACTCGGATGAACAGTCGCTGACTCCAGGGTATCTGTCACGATAGCTCTCGTGTGAGTAACTAGGCTATAGCCATTCATACCAAAATTGATAGTACAAAATTCTAACATCCTTTCCGACTGGTATGAATCCGACGACCACCCCCACATGTCCGATTACCGTAAGGCTCTAATAGGATGTGTCAACCGACGTGTCGACCCTACTCAAACCACCACACATAATGTAGTTTCGGAGTTGAACGGCCAAACTGTCTCTGTTACCGCGGCTGGAGACGAGTGCTGATTAGTGCTTTGTACAAGTGCATCCAACTTCCCATTCACCAATCTCTGGAGTTTTCGGTGACATTAAAAGGTGCTACCAATATAAATTGTGGAAACCCAAGCTAGGTTTGCTTGTTCTTGCAAAAACGTCTGACTACAGGGTATGTACATATCGAACTTGCTCAGCAATACTCCTATTTTAGTGTTCGTTAACTTCGTTGTTTGATTGATATTCATTTTTTGGGTCATAAAACTGTGACCATTTCCTTGTCCAAACAAGTCCACACACGAGTGTGCATTGATGACAGGAAAACACTCGATGTAAGTTATACTTCTGTGAATAGCACGGTGTCTGTCATAAAATTTCTAGTTATAAACAAAGAGGGGAGCGAGTCTCACTTTTGAATTCAACGTTGGCTTCCGAACTGAGTTTTTCCACATCAATTTTGTACGTTCCCATGAATTCTTCAGTTAGGAAGGGTAGAACAATGCGGTGCACTGTGTCCTGCTTGTCTGATTCGATACGATAGTCATCAGCTTTTGCGCGCACCAAAAGTGGTTTACGATCTCTCGACCAGGTCACTGGTTCTCTTGGCTCACGTGACACCTCACACTCTAACACAACAGGCTGACCCGTGTACTCTTGAATGATAACGTCTTGAAGTGGACGAATGAACTTGAGTGGACAACCTGTAGTGGCGAATGATGAAAACCCGCGTGAAATATAGAGGGGAAGGCCTCCAAGAACAAACAGAATCAAATAACAATCAAGCACTTTCCACTATCCCGAAAATAGCGGCACAAACTTAGAGCGATTGTGCGCTGTACCATGAAAAAAGCTAACACAGAGATGACTGAACCCACCATGGGTTAAAATAACTAATGATGCTTGGGACTGGGTGGACAGGAAAAGTTCTCGTACGTTCAAAGTTACGAGGCTAAAGTGCCTACACCAGTGAAGTGCGTTTACCATAGATTGACAGTAAGTTACGCATGAGCTGAATCGCTGTGGTGGTTAATGCGAACACCTAAAATGATCATATCAATGTACCTCCTCCTTCAACTCTACTCAAACTTGTGCACAATCCAGAGTGAAAAATACGGGAAGTTTGCTTCAACGACTCCATGCGTTGCAGAGAAAACACATGGTGCTTCGGTCGTGAAACGAGTGCGAATGTTTTTATTTGGTCATGGAGCTGGTGCTCGGTACGTGAAACACTGAGATTTTATTAGGCACGCTGAGGCATTCAGGAATGGAAAATGTTCCTCTTATATTTACCGATGACAGACTAGAATACATCGGAACAGATGGCCGTTGAGTATGGCTACAGTAACCGTTGTATTTACGCGCTTTCTACTGACCTAGAATCAACACAACAGAGTGCGAATGGTATTATAGTGCGAAAACTAATGTCATTTAGTCATCAGTCGAAGCGACCACAATGCCTAGGTAAGATGGTGACTGGGGACAGATAACAATGTGACTGTAGTTGGAAGGTTTGCGGTATTCGAGAAAAATTTGATGAAAGGGTGGATAAGTTTCAGTGCAAATCTGCTTTACTTGTAGCCATAAGCCGCGAACATTAGTGAATTTAGCGAATATACACTCATTTTCAAACTAATTTGTTTTTTTACAAATGATAGTACATTTGCTAATTTTGTGCAATTTGGTTTCAAGTAGAACATAAGGTTGACGAAAACTCGGGGACATCGCCGACCTGATGAGCCCCAAGAAGGGCGAAACCGGTCGTGGGCTGTCGAGGAGTTTTCAGCAACCCTATGAGTAGTGCATTACAAAATATGTTTTAGTGAATTTACTTCAACGACTGAGCATCACAGTAAACAACACGCGCATTTTATTTATTCTGAAGGGTATACAGAATCAACAAAACAAACGAATTTACTGAAGCCGAGGGGCCCTTTACAAACTATTTCAGCGTAAAAGAATACCAGCGAGTTAATTTTAACGTGAACCTAAAGAGCAATAGTTTCTGCTGCAGAATGTGATATTAGTCCAGGCACAAGAATGAGCAGCCGTTCAGATTGCAGCATGATTTAGCAAGACAACGGACTGACGGGAGAAGCGCAGATGGAATCGCAGACAAATTTACCCAATACAACAGGATTTGAAGGGTTCGAAGGTTGACTTTTGCCAGCTTTATTCACCCCCGTGACCTGGAATTCGTAAGGTTGCTCCTCCTTTAGACGGCTACAGTCAACAACAAAATTGAGTCCCTCGACTTTGTCAGAGTTGAGGCCAGGTGAACTCCACGACCGGTCACCTACAGCCCTCATCTCCACGATGTAGTAGAGTACTGGTGTGGCAGACGGCTGAGTTTCATCAGGAGTCCAGGACACATTGATTTGTTGTTGCTTGATGGAGATGTTTTCAGGGGACACAGCTGCGCACACATTCGTAGGTGGGCTTGGGGGGCCTAAAATAGTAAGATCTTTATGGTGAGCTGAAAGCTTCAAGACACATTTCAGATTAACGTTGCCCAAAATTGGTATAAAAACCAGCAAGAATTTCTGTCGGGTGTACAAATGCTACAAGGAAAACAAAGGAAGATTGGTATGCTTGTGGTCGAGAACACGAGACGTATGGTGGGTTGCGCTTTTCAAGACTGAACAAGCCTGCTTTATTGTTTCAAAAGGCTTGGCAAACAATCGGAAGTCTGCTTTATACCTATCAGTTGTAAACTACAAGCACCGGTCTGAGTAATCGCCACATGGTTCGTGGGAACCAGGAGAAGCAAAGAACAATTATTCTTCAAGATTAGTTGGAATACTGAGGAATCTGATGAGTCGATGAGTCATATGAGTTATGCGCACAAGTGAGGTTGGGAGTGCCAACTCTGAACCAAACCTCTCTGACGAATCCGAACGGGGGCGAAAGGCACAGTGGATTTCAGGATATTTCTAGACTGAAAACGGCGTTTTTTTAACGGAAGAAGGGTCCATTAGAAATGGAAAATAAGTCCACTAATCCAGAAGAAGCTGCTTGAAATAGCATCCACCACTAGCCATTTCCATCATGAATAGATTTTTCCTTGGCAAGCGGTCAGATTAAGTTGCGCTGATACTAGCAGGACGACAGTGCTCCTGGTATTTCTAGAGTCCCACGGAACAGGTTTGGAAAATCCGATTGATCACTGCATGGTTTAGATGAACACAACGGAACTTTGAACGACTGGTTGGCATCGACTAAGGGGAAAAAAACGGAGAAAACACCGGTTTCGAATGACAACGTTCGATTTACGTATAAACGTTTACGCGTTACGCTTGACGCTATGAAATTTGTGCTATTTTGCGGCTTCCAAACTGGATAGAAAGTCCTGTTCTCTGACCGCCTAGATGCATTTGGAAGAGCTGAATCAGGTCATTCACTGAAATTTTTCATCTGACAGTGATCTCGAACATGTTACTGCTAATAACTTGCACGTTTATTTCACTGAGCGGGCACAGTAAACCTCCTATTGCTGCCGGCATCCTAGCGATTCCGGTGTTCTTTCGGAGGGTGGTTGTGTACTGTTCATATCAAACGCCTCGTGCCCACGTCCAGGTTCTCAGGTCATTTCTAGCTTCAGGCTGTCTTAATGCTCTCATTACATTCCCTATAAAAGTACTTAGATGTCATTTTCCGTTTCCTTTATGGCCAGCGGTGTCAGCCTGCATAGACTGGTGAACACCGTATTAAATCAAACGATCGATCCATTTTTGAATCCTATTCTGCCAAGCACTTAAGTGGGGATAGGCACCAAAAAAACGTGACTACTTTTTGTCTTGCGATCTCAGGAATCGATGTCTTCCGCATAATTTCATTTATAAGTTGAAGACTGCATCCTTCCTTATTAATTTTGTGGCTCTTGGTCTTGAAAAAATAAGATTTGCCGATTCCTCAAACAATGAAAGTCTAACCAGCAAAACACTAGTTGAATTGATCATGCATAAATATTTTGCGGTCCGTGTCAGCTTCCTCCTGAATAGATGCCCTGAACAGAACAAACCACGGCCTGTTTCGCCCTTCTTCGGGCTTATCAGGCAGGCGCAGCTGTCGAATTTCCTTATCAGCCCAAAGAGAGGAAATTTCGCAACGTAACTTCCGCATTAGGAGTCACTGGTGCAGGGTTCGGTTAGATGACTCTGGCTAACAGTTTCAAGCTGTTAACTTCAGGATCACGAAGCAGCCCGCCGTTCAGCAGAGATGGTAAATTTGAATTTGGTCCAATTGGCCGGAGACTTGATTAGACTATATGACCACCGGTTAGTAAACAGAAAGCATTTTCTAACAAGAAGCCATTCCATCTAGAATAAGCCTCTCATCGGGGAGGATGATAAATTGCATTCAGATAGAAGGGACGTACCATAATCAAGTTTTGTCGAAATAGGTTTCGTGTCGACAAAGTCCGACTTGCCAACCTCATTCTTTGCGGCCACACTGAAGATGTAGGATTTGTTCAACTGCAACCCATCAATAGGCGTACTCAATTCCTTCGTCGTCGTTACCGGCTTGCCCACACGTTGAGTTGCCTCGCGCATCTCCACGACGTACGTTATACCTTCAGTTGGAGCGACATCCGGACTGATACCGAGGAATTCCGGTTCAATCCAATGGAACACCACACGTTCTCCCGTGTTCTCACTCACGTCCGGTTGTCGTGGTGCAGATGGCTTATCCAACACTATCAACTGCACCGTCACCGACACCTCGCCCAACTCGTTCTTTATCACCACCTCATAGTCACCAGCGTCTTCCCGTTTCACCTTGCCCAGTGGTAGCGACGTCATTCCGGAGACCACATCTGGTTTGAATCGAGGAGCTTGTGGTGCACCTGGTTCGGCATCAGGACGCACTCTCGGCTTCCATGTCCATTGGACTGTTGGTTTTGGACTGGCGGCGAACGGTACCTCGATGACGGTGGATGCTCCAGCTTTGAGGATGATTTTATCGGTGAACTTCTCGGAAAGTTTCAAAGTTGGTGCCACTGAATACGTTTGATGTGGATAGAGAGATATATTATTGCTCAGTATTGCATAGCCCAAGGCGAAGTATGTCTGAGAGGACCATGTACTATATCAACGCTATTATATTGTGTGAAGAGAGTCCGTCGGAAGAAGATAGATTGTTGCAACACCGAATGATTGAAACCCAAATACAATAAGTTGAAAGAAAGGAAATTCAACAAATCAATTGGTACAGACTTGTGCCAATTAGGGAGTACAATCTCCATAATAAATCGTCGTTGAACCAAGGTGACCTAAAAATGAGCAGAGCCATAAATGCAGCTTGACATTCCAACAAAAATGGCACTACCACAGCCAACCAAGTAATATTCGTCAACTGAGATCAGTAATTTCGAGATGACGAAATTGAGAAACTCACACTTCATATCTATCCGACCCTCACTACTCAGCTTCTCAGCCTGGATTGTATAGACCCCGAGGTCTTCATCGTGCAACTGCTGGAACACCAAACGATGTACGGTACCTTTCGAACCTTCTTCAAGACTGACACGGTCTGGAAGACGACCTAGTGGTTTACCATCCTTCAGCCACTGGACTTTTTCCCGAGGAGCGCGTGACAATTCACATTCCAATATAATCGGTTCCCCGGTCAGTTCTGTCACAGACACGTCAGTAAGTGGACGGATGAATTCCAGCGGGATTCCTGTAGAAAAACGATTGTATGAAAAGGGACGGATAACAACTGAACATTACATGTCCTGTGTGGATGGTTTTTATACGATTAATGGGCACTGTAGGTTGACTGTGCAATAACTGCTTCCCATAAAACTCATCTAGATATGACTTCAGGGAATTTCTTGCAACAGTGGAATAGTTAGAGGAGATGGAGCACACAAACAGCCGACTCACCTAACTCTACTGGGTTGGACGGTTCCGACGGCTTACTCTTTCCGGCCTTGTTCTCAGCTGTCACACGAAATTCATAGCTAGAAAAACGATGTATGAAAAGGGACGGATAACAACTGAACATTCGCGGAATTACATGTCCTGTGTGGATGGTTTTTATACGATTAATGGGCACTGTAGGTTGACTGTGCAATAACTGCTTCCCATAAAACTCATCTAGATATGACTTCAGGGAATTTCTTGCAACAGTGGAATAGTTAGAGGAGATGGAGCACACAAACAGCCGACTCACCTAACTCTACTGGGTTGGACGGTTCCGACGGCTTACTCTTTCCGGCCTTGTTCTCAGCTGTCACACGAAATTCATAGCTGATGAACTCCTTCATGCCTTTGGATGGCAGTGTGCAATGTGGCTCGGTTATCGTGAATTCGCCGGACACGTCTTGCCACCGAGTAGAGTCGGTCGGTTTCAGTTCGAGGGTGTAGTTGGTCACGGGCCCAACCGCTTTGTCACTCGGTTCGTCCCAGGTGAGATCAATCGTCTGATCGGACACCGGAGCTTTGGCCGGGTTAACAACAGCTTTCACGTTTTTGGGACTCGAAGGTGGTCCTGATGAATGAGAACAGTAAATCCAATACTGAGACGGTCATATAAAGGTAGTAATAAAATAACGAACACGAATTTATTGTTCCGGAAATTTCCACTAAAGAGGCATCGGTACCAATGTTGGTAGTCGCACGTGTCTCAGCCAATCAAACACCTACATATAACTGCCTGTCCACCCAACTACCTACAACAAGTGCATTTGTCTTCCAGATACACAAAAGCTTGAGTGAAAAAAAAGAGCAAACATGGGCCGTTGTTTCTGTGTCCTGATTCTACGTCAAAATCAATAGGTGGAAACCAGTACATTGACATGTATTGGTGGTATTCAACTTGGCACATGGTGATTTTCCTTCATACTATAGAGAAACAGATGGGCAGTAAGTGGACTTCAGTGCTGACTTTAAATGGCGTACAGAAGTTCATCGAGGTGTTCACTATTGAGGAGTTTCTCTGTACGTATCCTTTTTCTATATTTATTCAGGATCCTTGCCCACCCTAGGACCCGGTTTTCTACACCGTAAGGAGTAAGGGTGCGCTATGATAAACCATTCAAGTCATGATTGCAGTGTTAATCACGGACACCTGACCGAGAGTTGTGATACACTCCAAAAAAGCAGAACCCGTGAACCCAATCGTGTCACTGTGCCGGTGAAGCATTCGTTATCGATCCTCGCGATAATGGAGTGATTCGTAAGGTCGCAGGGCAAGATAGCTGGAAATGGGCATTTTGACTGTGTTGCCTTTCTTCCGATGAAAAACCTAATATGGTATAGTGTGCTCACTGTTTTGGTGATATGAACCGGAATATGATCTCATCTAATCGTCAAAAACTCACTTAATGCTCACTTATAATGATGTGTAGAAAGGCCTTGTGTGCTGGAAACCTGAAAAGTCAAAATGGCTGTTTAAACATTCTCCTATAGGAATTGGGAAATCCATCCTGTGGCTTTTTATTCGGTGCCTAAACGAGTTGGTGAGTACAGCTTTGTTTCCATACAAGGTTGTGTGAGAAGGTAGTAAACAAAAGGAACAGCGCAAACACGCTTACATGAAGAAACCAATGTGTTATACACAAACGGTTGTCACTCACCATAGTCTAAGGTAGTTGAAACTGGTTTGCTATCCGCAAAGTCGGACTGACCAACTTCGTTCTTCGCGGCCACGCTGAAAATGTACGATTTATTCAGCTGCAATCCTTCAATTGACGTTTGTAATTTCTTCGTCGTGGTCACTGGCTTACCCACACGCTGTGTTGACTCGCGCATTTCGACTACGTAAGTTACTGCGTCCGTGGGTGACACATCTGGACTGAGGCCGAGGAATTCCGGTTCAAGCCACTGAAATACAACACGCTCACCAGTGTTCTCGGTCACTTCAGGCTGCCGAGGTGGTGATGGCTTGTCTAGCACGATTAACTGCACTGTCACAGAAACTTCGCCCAACTCGTTCTTAATCACTACCACGTAGTCACCAGCATCTTCGCGTTTCACCTTCCCCAGCGGTAAAGATGTCATACCGGAGACGATGTCTGGCGTAAATCGCGGTGTCTGTGTTGCACCGGGTTCGGCATCGGGGCGCAGTCTTGGTTTCCATGACCACTGGACTGTTGGTTTAGGACTGGCGGCGAACGGTATCTCAAGGACGGCGGATGCTCCAGCTTTGAGTATGAGTTTATCGGTGAATTTCTCGGAAAGCTTCAGAGTTGGGGCGACTGGTATTTTGTAGAGGTGAATATACAGTAAATTAGAGTTAGAGGAACATGAATGTCAATGAGACAGAACGAAAATCGCACCGCCGAGCTGCACTAATATAAATTCTTTGAGCAGACTAACAAATGCGGTCGGATGAGCTGCACGAAGCGCTGATCGGAATTTCAGCTCAGTTATTGTGTGTACAGCGATCGGGTTTACCTTAAACGTCACTCTCTGCAAAAGCAACGAGCGACGTTGCTAATCCACGCACTAGATGCCCTCCAGATTTCCCTATACGCTACGCAAAAAGTTTATTCGTTTTTACGGAGGGTCCACAGAAACAGTTCACTCTTGAGTAGAATTCAGTCCCATTGAGGGCGCGCAATGATAAAATACAGGACCGTTTAGGATCGTATTCACATAATGTCATGTAAGTTTTATCTACTCCATAATGCGTACGAGTACATTCTACTAAGCTAGGTCAACAGCCAAAATGCAGTGCGTCACTGTCCAATGTACACAATAAATTATCTTTCTGACGGGAAGCGTAATACATGGACGAAAAAATGAACTAGGTGTACTTGGTCTTCGCGTCCTGTTGTGCTCTTCATGAGGAACGAACATCTGTCACATTTGATAATTCCTTACTGAAATAAACAAACCGAAATATGCGCTTGAGCTTCCTTGAGTCTTTTGCCTGTTTATCAGGTCATTTTGCGATTTCGCCATGATTGTAGAATGATGCCCAGGAATGTGAAAGTTAATCAGCAATCCATGTGAGCACGTCTGAGATTTGGTGACTGTGAAGTGAAGTCTGTCAAAAGTACTACCCTTCGAACGTACCAGTTTGGCAATGTAACATCAAATGAGTGAAACGTGACACCACAGAAAGTGTGTGACCCGAGCTTTTGGTTGCCCTCGTAAACATAGAGGAACCTTTTGCGTTATTGTGAAATTCGGTTATCTCAAAATCGTTTGCTGGGTTAGGATGTGTCCGGTATTACGGTACCCACATTAAGATGCATGACAACAGTAGATCCACCTTTAGCGACCAGGTTATACTGTGTTTGGCAGACATATATCTCATTAGTTTTGTAACCTATTCCGTAAATTGGAACGCGTCAATTACCGTTGGTGGGTGTCCAGAAATTTTTGTACAACCGGTGCATTTCTGTGAGGATGCATAGAATGCACTGGCCAAGCAAAATTTCCATTCCAGGGTAGAAATAATGTACATGACTAGGCGTCGATTTTTTGGGAGTACTTTTATGCAGAGCCGCGTTGCTGTTTTTATGCCTGAGCAAATATTTTAGATTTAAAGTTTGCTTATTATTCCATGGATAAGGAAACTTCATCATTTCACACGTTAGAACTAACGTAATTGTGACAGCTTCGGTGGTACTGATGGGTTTCCGCAAGTACCAAACACGCAGATCACGGTATCAAACCGTCAGTTTACGGGATTCCGAGGATCAGTAAGCCACCACAACATACTGTAAATAGACAGAAAGCTCAAACGAATCCAGCTGAATCTCTCGTTTTGATGGTCCGCTTCAGGTGGATTCTGTTGAGTCTTCTGTCGGAAATAGATTCGTGTGGAAATGAGAGTAGTTGTCGAATTTGGTCCAGTTTGGGTTCAAGTGGAACATGAAACAGACATGAAGACTGCGTCTACCTGATGAGCCCCAAGAAGAGCGAAATCGATCGTGGGCTGTCAAAGAGTAGTCATCAACCTTATGAGTAGGGCTTTACGTTTAGATACTGCAACCAGATTTACAAGTACAATAGTAATGGCTTCTTACATTCGATTTCTTACACTAGCCCTATTAGGAGACTTCTACCACAATGTTGTAAGACAAAATCCTTGAGAGTTACGGGGAATACTGCATAGTCTATCTAATTGTGACTTAACGAAGAATTATTGGCGGGGTTTTGTCAAACAAATCGTATTGTTTCATACTTTCTGAAAACCATGTAGATGTTTTCGAAATTCCTGGTGGCGCTCAAAGTGGTACGGAACACCTTCCGATTGTTCTACGGTTCAGTCTGACGTGGGTCTGTGGATATGGGTAGCAAAATCTTTGGATAAAATTCTTCAACAAATTTATCCAAGCAGAAGTCACGCGAATTTCTCGTAGGCTAATTGGCCGTTTCATGCAATTATTTGGTGCAGTTGTCATCGTTCAGTTTCCTGCCATGGGGAAAGGCTTTATATGGACCCATGCAGATTACACCGGTCAACCGAAACCAACTTCACATGGTCACTATCAGGACTTACTTGTTTAGGCATTCGACTGAGTTTGAGCCATTTGGTGTCCCAACTGTTGTCAAGATAGTATCCCAATAAAATTCGGAAAACGATATACATAAGAAATGTGTGATATGAAATTCCAGGTCTGCATACACACGATAGCTGCCCCATGACGTACTGCCTTCCAACTGTGTGATACCATCACAAACCGAGCATGTTAACTTTGCGTGAAAAACTTAGGGGTGAAATGTGGCCAACCGAAAGACAGTTATGTGTGCTGCATTGCGGCTATTATAAACGACAATGGCAGTGATGATAAGACACTGCTGAATCTGAAAGAATATCAGCCATCTGTCCAAATATAGGTGATAGTTAAGAACAGGCTTGTTGTCTGAGAAGCCCACGTGGCTTTGGTTGTGGGATGATGGGTGGTACGCTGTCTGGAAATTGTACAGAGGCTCATAGAGCTATATTGGCAAATCAAAGAAATGAGTGAGACTAGATCGGATAAGTAGTGAGGAAAACCAATCAAGTTCACCAAAAAAGGTAGGTGGTTTACTTCGAAACCATGTGTGTACGTTCAGGTTTTAAATAGTGCTTAGGGGAACGCTACTGTGTCACAAGCCCTAACATGCGTATGTAACTCACGTTTCATGTCTACCCTTCCCTCGCTGCTCAGTTTCTCTGCCTTGATTGTGTACGTGCCAAGATCTTCATCCTCCAGTGGCTGGAAGACCAATCGATGCACGGTTCCCTTCTCATCTTCTTCAACACGAACGCGAGCAGGAAGACGGCTTAATGGCTTTCCGTCCTTCAACCATTGAACTTTCTCTTTCGGAGCACGTGATAACTGGCATTCCAAGACGACTGGTTCATTAGTGAGCTCGGTGAGGGCGATCTCATTCAGTGGACGAACGAATTCCAATGGAATACCTGGGAAAACAAATACAACTTGTTGAGGAAAACACGTTCAGATCTACGGTCTTAGGTCTCTGTCAATAACCAGTTTGCAGAGAAGAATACGTTAGGCAACATGACCTGTGCGACAAAATCTGAGTGCATTTGCGCTTACTTTTGCAACATTAAAGATATCAGTAAACATCCTATCACAGACAAAAGGCAAGGAAACAGGGCATTACCTAGTTCTACTGCATTCGATGGTTCTGACGGCTTGCTTTTACCCGCCTTGTTCTCAGCTGTCACACGGAATTCATAGCTCGCGAATTCTTTCATACCCTTTGATGGTAAGGTGCAGTGCGGCTCGGTGATGGTGAAATCAGCGGTCACATCTAGCCATCGATTTGAATCGGTCGGTTTCATCTCGATGTAGTAGTTCGTTACAGGCCCCGCACCACTCGGTTGATCGGTGGGTTCATCCCATGTGAGGTCAATGCTTTGTTCAGTTATTGGCGCCTTTTCTGGGTTGACAGTAGCTCTCACTTTGATCGGAGTTGCTGGCGGTCCTGAGAATCAAACAAATTATGCGAAATTTACTCCCCGAAGTAAACAATATACTGAGACTACGCAATTGCTGACAAGAAGTTCTAAAAAAATCCACCATCATCAAATCGATAAGGGCACGCCATTCTTGAAAGTATGGTTATGGAGGGCTTGTAATAAATGGCCAAGAATTGAGCTACCTAAGATGGACGGACCATCTGGTCAGTGAACTCGCGCCCTAACCACTGAGCCATTTCGAGCCCGGAAACGTAGAAGCTACAGAAAGGTAGAAATATCTCTTGGTCTGTGAGCTACCAGGGCGAGAAAAATGGTGAGGTTTGGACGATTGATAAAATCTTTGGAGAAGTCTGTAAGGTATATTGACTAATTCATCATAATTCGAACTGCAAGTAATTAATTATTTTTAGATTTCTGTGGGGAAACTCAGCGAGGTTTAATCCTTCATTCTGCGGCTTCAGGAAGCACGGTTGAAATGCCACCAGTTTGTTTATTTTTAGAGAGCAGTAGGCACAAAAGGTGAACTTTCTAACCAATAGACTGAATCCTAATAGCTTGTTCTTCGTTGTCACCAGCACGCTGGTTCTCATGAAAACTCATGTGACCGCCAAATCCGCAGTCGAGAACACACTGGCTTCACATATTTACATTCTGTGTTTAAATCGGTTTATCGGGGACGTAAAGATATGTATATAAATATATATGTATACATATACATATAAAATCAATAATACCATTAGTTAAACAAATTAGTTCACAAGCCGCACCGCAACCGTATAATCGTTTTCATATACGGTCGCCTTGATCCAGAGAGACTAGCCGGTAAGGAATGTCATTTTTACTCAGTCCTTTTGAGCACAATTCAGTGCTAAGTTCCCTTCCATAAAGAACTCATCAGCGGAAGAGATTAGGTCGTGCCGATTTCTTCAGATGCTGTCTTCCGCGGAGCGAAACTATGCCACTTGTGCTATTCATGGAGAAACTGGAACAGAACGCCTTAGTGAGAATGCTATCTGCCTCCTTTACTTTGTAAGCAACATCAGCGAACGGACTAAACCGAAATTGGAATCTCGATACTCGTGATGACATAGATTGTACATGGTGGAGTATATAATAGCAAAGGACTAAAAAACCGAAACTTCTTGCTGTCTGAGTGGTGAGGCATGTAAATAAATAGGTGAAAACAGGTTTTATAGGCTGAGTTATATGAATGAAAAAAACCTTCATGGGACCAGGATGGAAAACTACTACTGGGTTTCCAACAACTATCAACTTACCATATTCGAGCTTGGTTGACACTGGCTTGCTATCCACAAAGTCTGATTGACCAACTTCGTTCTTCGCGGCCACACTGAAGACGTAGGATTTGTTCAACTGCAACCCATCAATAGGCGTACTCAGTTCCTTCGTCGTCGTTACCGGCTTGCCCACACGTTGAGTTGCCTCGCGCATCTCCACGACGTACGTTATACCTTCAGTTGGAGCGACATCCGGACTGATACCGAGGAATTCCGGTTCAATCCAATGGAACACCACACGTTCTCCCGTGTTCTCACTCACGTCCGGTTGTCGTGGTGCAGATGGCTTATCCAACACTATCAACTGCACCGTCACCGACACCTCGCCCAACTCGTTCTTTATCACCACCTCATAGTCACCAGCGTCTTCCCGTTTCACCTTGCCCAGTGGTAGCGACGTCATTCCGGAGACCACATCTGGTTTGAATCGAGAAGCTTGTGGTGCACCTGGTTCGGCATCAGGACGCAGTCTCGGCTTCCATGTCCATTGGACTGTTGGTTTTGGACTGGCGGCGAACGGTACCTCGATGACGGTGGATGCTCCAGCTTTGAGGATGATTTTATCGGTGAACTTCTCGGAAAGTTTCAGTGTTGGTGCCACTAATATCAGAAAGGATAATGGATGAGAAATTGTGGGGTAGTTTTTCATGAGTTTAGCTTTCGTCCCCACCGTCTTCCCGTTTCACCTTGCCCAGTGGTAGCGACGTCATTCCGGAGACCACATCTGGTTTGAATCGAGGAGCTTGTGGTGCACCTGGTTCGGCATCAGGACGCAGTCTCGGCTTCCATGTCCATTGGACTGTTGGTTTTGGACTGGCGGCGAACGGTACCTCGATGACGGTGGATGCTCCAGCTTTGAGGATGATTTTATCGGTGAACTTCTCGGACAGTTTCAGAACTGGTGCAACTGTGTATGGTAGAGGTTCAGGGGTATAGTTATGCAAATCGATCAAGTAAAGTTGAGAGTCGCTGAAGATCTGTGCTTGAACGAGTAAATGTTATAAACGTGCATCGACTGCTGGAGTATACATAGTTCTAAAATTCACTCTATGCCGTCGGATTTTCAGCAAAATAGCAATCAATATTCCGAAGGATAGACCGGTCAGTCGAAACGCAGCTGTAGAGATAGGAGACATAGTTCTTGGTCCACAAAGCTTCTGAAACTTTCGGCTAACTGCCCCCTCCCAAGCCTTACGTGTTCGTAAGTCTAAGTTTAGCCGCTGAAGCCATATAAAAATGTGGTACGTAAAGTCAAACTGTCCACAAACCAATTTTCACTAGGAAGCATAAACAATTTAACAGTGATTTTGGGGCCACCGGTTTCGATGGCCACTGACGTTAAACGACACATTCCAGAGCTAGGTACAATCGCGCCGATGTAGACCTGAGGGAATATGATGGGCGGACGAATCGTAAAAACTTTACAAAAATCAGCCAGCCTAAACAAAACAAGGAATTTCGGAAGAGAGTTGTCGAATCCTTGTAGGCGATGAGAATATCACAAGTAAATGGATCAAGAAATTTGAGGTAGATTTCTGCAACAAAAGGAGACAAGGTGCTGGCCGTCCAAAGAAGTCTATAAATGGGCCGGATATGTCTAGTCCACAAATCAGTTCTTCTGCGGTCAGACAAGTCGCTGAAGCTCTTCGAAACACCACCGTCAAAGAACTAGGTGTGAAACATGGCTAGAAAACTGATCACACGTTCAATATCACTCAGTACAGCGCCTAGTTCGTGTTGGTACCGTGTCTTCACAGCTAAATGGCACCTCAGCATGCCACAGAGGGCGCGAATCAACGCCACCCAACAACAACAAGCCAAAAGCACTGCATGTAATGGAGTCTGTAGGGTATAGGGACCAAACGGACTGTGTTGGCAGGTTATTCATATTGGAGTGACAATATGGAAGTAAAGCCAAATGTCCCATGAAACTTAGCTAACAACAACAACTAACAAATCCCTAGTGGTCCAACTGAGAAGAAACTCACCCTTCATGTCTACTCGTGCTTCACTGGTCAAGTGATCAGCTTTGATTGAATACATGCCCAAATCCTCATCCTGCAACAGTTGGAACACCAATCGATGGACCGCTCCTTTCTTATCTTGTTCCACACGAACATGGGGAGGAAGACGAAGCAATGGTTTTCCGTCCTTCAACCATTGAACTTTCTCTTTGGGAGCACGTGATAACTCGCATTCTAACACGATTGGTTCACCCGTCGGCTCAGTGAGAACAAAGTCGTTGAGTGGACGAATGAATTCCAGCGGAATGCCTAGATGAGCAAGGAAATTGGTATAATAGGACATTCCCAAATGCGACCTAGAAGAGGAGAATAAATAAACCGGACGTACAGTCCATTTGGACATAGTGAACTGAAAACACAACTCACCCAATTCCACTGGATTAGACGGTTCCGATGGTTTGCTCTTGCCAGCCTTATTCTCAGCCGTCACGCGAAACTCATAGCTCGTGAATTCTTTCAGACCCTTTGACGGTAACGTACAATGCGTCTCGGTGATGGTGAAATCAGCGGACACATCTTGCCATCGTGTTGCATCCGTCGGCTTCATTTCGAGGTAGTAGTTGGTCACAGGTCCGGCACTGGTCGCTTGGTCAGTCGGCTGTTCCCACGTCACATCGACACTTTGTTGATCGATAGGCGCTTTCTCTGGGCTAGCTACAGCCCTGACGTTGATCGGGCTGGGTGGTGGTCCTAAAATCCAAATATGCGTTGATCAATGGTTAGTAGACTGCAAAATAACTTTGAAGCTATTGTGGGTCACCCATATATCAACCTGAATGAACGCGCGCCACACAGAAATCCTTTAAACGCGTTAGGCTTCTTTTAAGGAGAAATCCTCATACGAGAGAAAAGCTAGGTCTATTTGGTGGGTTTCCCCACTGCCATCAGAAAATTGGATGCAGTGGCTGTACTCAGGCAATAGGCCGTAATTTGTCGCACATGAAGATGCAAACCTGTGGGCTACCACACCCGAAGAGCAGGGCTAATGGATAGATTTGTGACCGATTGGCGACTCACCGTAATCCAGTTTTGTTGACACCGGTTTGCTATCCACAAATTCTGATTGACCAACTTCGTTCTTCGCGGCCACACTGAAGATGTACGATTTGTTCAACTGCAACCCATCAATAGGTGTACTCAGTTCCTTCGTCGTCGTTACCGGCTTGCCCACACGTTGAGTTGCCTCGCGCATCTCCACGACGTACGTTATACCTTCAGTTGGAGCGACATCCGGACTGATACCGAGGAATTCCGGTTCAATCCAATGGAACACCACACGTTCTCCCGTGTTCTCACTCACGTCCGGTTGTCGTGGTGCAGATGGCTTATCCAACACTATCAACTGCACCGTCACCGACACCTCGCCCAACTCGTTCTTTATCACCACCTCATAGTCACCAGCGTCTTCCCGTTTCACCTTGCCCAGTGGTAGCGACGTCATTCCGGAGACCACATCTGGTTTGAATCGAGGAGCTTGTGGTGCACCTGGTTCGGCATCAGGACGCACTCTCGGCTTCCATGTCCATTGGACTGTTGGTTTTGGACTGGCGGCGAACGGTACCTCGATGACGGTGGATGCTCCAGCTTTGAGGATGATTTTATCGGTGAACTTCTCGGAAAGTTTCAGTGTTGGTGCCACTAATATCAGAAAGGATAATGGATATTGGACTGTTTTGGACTCGCTACGAAGGGTATCTCAAGCACGGCGGATGCGCCTGCCTTCAGGATGATTTTATCGGCGAATTTCTCAGCCAGTTTTAAAGTAGGTGCAACTACAATAAGTTGAATAAAAACAAACGAGGAAACTGTCACTGTTTTGCTGAAATGCTAAATATGGTGCTTGATCCTAAGATCCTCAGGTTATCGGTGAACGACTCAAAAATTGAATCACGTATGTTCAACTAGTAAGTGACTGAAAATCATGGGGTCAATGTTTTTACGGAAGAGTTGGGTCTTCCAAACTAGTGACTAATCACTGTCACTGTAGCAGTTGCTCAAATCTGATTACGTTAAACCTCACCACATTCGACAGCCTGACATAAGTATATTACTGGTCATCACTGTAATATATCAAACGATACCAAGCCAATGCGTTTGTTCCACTTGAACAAAATGACTAACCTGAGTTAGCGTACCACTTTAGCATTTTGGTAACAAGGCAGTCATTCTTGAATGCAAACGGTACTTCAAGGTTACTCTGAAACCGGGTAAGTGGTAGCCTTTTCATCCCGAGGCGCTCGAAAAAATAGTGCTAATAGGATGGATTTCATGTAATTTCGTCAACAGAACATCTAACTTGAGAATACAGTGTAAAATCCATCATTCGCCATGTGAACCAATTTGGTTTTTACGGGCACTCGCCCAAATCCTAGTTGAATCTTTCGTTTATGACATTCTTCAAGCGAATGTGCTGCTCAACGGCCGCTCATGACTCAATAGGCCGGAGTTTACTAAATTTGAGGACTAAATGCCAATGTTGGTTGAAGTACTCGGAACGATGACTTTTAAGCCAGAGTGTGCCGAGTTGCATTCGTTTCACCTTTTTATTGGAACGACAAATAGTGATCGGAGAAAATCACTGTAAGCCAAAGATTCTGACCGTATACACTTGAAACCAACTGATAGCCAAATCTCCTCTACCACCAGTGTGAAAACGGAGTCTGTGGATGAAGTAGGCGTAACTTCGATCGACCGGCTTAAGTTAACTCTGGAGCACGGGGATATGAAGTGATGAAACGTAACGTGGGCGGTGAATGGATGTAACAAGGACAGAAATAGCGCATAATTCTCTGACTTTGGTTGCCCGAATAAAGGTTATTCGGAGAGTAGGTGTCGCGAGATATTCACATGAAAGAGCTCACTGAGGGCTAATGCTAGAAGACAAAATAACTTACTGTCCTATTATCCCTGAATGAAATCTTATGAGAATTTTTACCCGAATTTCCGATTCAGTTTCTTTGTGCCTGGAGAAGAGTGGCTTGGCTGTGATAGCGCTCATCCTTGTCACTGTACATGGAGAGAATTATCGGCAAGGTTCGGAGAGGAATTCCTCCACTCAATTCGTCCCCTCAGTTTAGAAGCCGAGAAAAACGATTAAGTTTTCACTTAACAGGGTCGGTCGTTTAATGATTAGTGTGTACGTCTATACAGTGTAGTTCTACATCTCGAATAGCGTACCAACTGCAAAATGAGGCGGCCTAGAGCACCACATAAAGTTGAAGAACAAAATTCCTAAACGAGGAATTTAGCCGCGATTCAGGTGAGTCTCCCGTGAAATTCGAGTTGATGTGCAAAGGAGTGTATTGGTCAAAAGTTTCCTATTTATTTCTACACAATTCGCTGTGCCTATATAACTCAAATCAAGTCCTTTTCCGGTCTTATCGCGGGTGGTGGAATTTATTTATCTGTTCTGTAGGTATTACGTGTGAAATAAAATCAAGTATGATGAGCGAAAAAGAATAAGTAGGTCGACTCGTGCTGCTCGGGCCGCTGCACTGAACGGTAGGCCATCTTAACCGGGGTGGAAATTTTCTGGGCCCGTTTCCTATGTAAGTTTGGGTTACGACGCTTGAAACTCTACTCTGGCCAGTGGACAATAGTTCGAATTCGAGCATGCAGCTCACCTAGCCTAATTTTATGAGTAGTCACTTGCATAGTAAAGAAACTGATCGCCAACCGTATCGCACACTAGTTTCAATCAGTGTGCAGTCCTATACTCTGTGGTTAACTTGACTGTGAAAGACAGGTAAGTTGACAGGGTTCAATGTACGTGTGACCTTTGATACTCTCAAAAGTCGTGGTCAGGCTACGCACGTTCCCTCAGTCAAAGAAAACTCCTGGTGTTGCTAACCAATCGGGAGTTTTTCTATACGATTTCATTTATTCGAATGTCTCCGGGCTCATCCATTTCCTTGACCGATCTGCTCATGTTACAACAGCAACCAGGAGTACTGGCTCTCTAAACATGTAAATCGTTGCCACACATTCGGTTGAGCATCAATGCAGCCAGTCCGCCGTCGGAGGTGCAGCACCTTGCGCACACACTAAGGACATATAGGGATAGGCGGAAAAACCTCAGGTCACTCGATCCTACGTATTATTTGACCTATTTTATCACAAAGGAACTCTCGTTAATTGTAGGTGATTGCGGAGTTCATGGAGTTCACATTCACACCAATTACATTTGAACAGCCGTCACGAAGAGTCTGGACCTTACCGTGGTGTGACGGCCTGCGTACTTCAGAAACCCATTGAGCTATACTGGCGGGTGTCACCACGGCACTCACAGTCTCTCATACCAGGTTGGTCAATGGTTAGAGGTGTGACAAACACGGTCTCCTGGTCCTCCAGTTCGAGGGATTGAAACATGTGACAACTTGTTCCGTAGAAATGGTAATGCATCTGCATCTCCCGCCAAACACCGCTGCCTTGCGGTTAGGCCTCTGATCCAAAGGCTTTGGTTGAGAACCTTAACCGTCCTCCTGTCTGGGTGTGGGTGCCCTGACAGTATCCCAGCCCACGTACAACCATGATACCTACGTTCAGTATACGACAGTGAGGTGTTGAACACTGATGTCATGCTGCCGATGATGATGATGATCACATTAGGACAGTCCTCCTCCTGTCCTGGCGTAATTATTTTCGTGAGTCTCCTAAGTAGTGGGAAGATTTCGTCAGGGCAAGAGGAAGACTGCTCAGACGAGTGATTTGAATGCGAAACCCTACCAGTACTCAACGAAAGGAAACAACAAATCGTCGAATCTCGATCGGAAATATCTGACTATTTTCATCGAAGGAAACTCAACGTTCTTTGAAGATCGCAGATCGCATTTGTGGAATTCTAGGAGAACCTCAAGTTGCTCTATTGAAAAACTTAAAGTACTTGTTGCGCTTTCCACTAAACATACGCCTACTGTCGTGTCGCGACCTAGTACGCGTAAACTTCAGTCAACGAGACCACTTGACTCATGCTGTCGGTTGTCACGCTCTGGCTACGCGCGCGGCCCAGCGGAATCCACCGGTCGTTCGGTCGGTAAGCCTGGGTAGGTTTCGTCAATCCAGTCTGTCCATTTGCCCTTGTTGCCGAGGCTACACCCCCTTGCTCCAAGCTCACGGGGCTTGTCTGTGTCACAACCGTGAGACGAGCTGACAGGGCAGCTTGGATCGCATGATCCTATTGCACCAGCTAACTGTTGTGTCTGAACCGCAGGAGGACTAGTCTTCGGGCTTGTGACTGACTGTGACGTCACGCACCAGAGTGGGGGTAGCATCGATGGCTCACCATGCGAGGGTGTGCGTCGAACGCATGCTCCTACGTGCGTAGCCGTGACGAAACTCAACGTACCGATTGGATGATCGGAAAACTGAGTTAGCTGTCAGGGCCCTGTAGGAGCGCGCGAAGTGCGGCGTCAGATTTGTGGCGGCCTCTGCTGGTGCTCGGATCATCAGTTCAATCACATCAAAAGTGCCGAATTTCAAGGACTTTACCTTCAGGTGATGCCCGAAGAGTACAGCCCGCGTAAAGAAGCCACATGGTCAGTGTGACTTGATTGTAGACAGCTGTGATCGATTTTAAGCAATGAGGTCACACGCGAATGTCGGCTCTACCCAAAGATAGCGTGATCCGTAGAAACTCACTACCCAACTAAAAAAGAGAATCGTGATCTTTTGGAAACTAGATTTTATCTCACGAAAATCACCAACACAGTCCAAACGTCCAAGGGTTGGAGATGAGTAACTCTTACCAACACGAAAATAGCTGCTTTCGGGCAACAGCAACAAATCTGAGTTGGAAAATCAGAGCGATTATATACTTTCTCTTTAATCACTTTGAAGCCCTTCGAGTAGTGTATTACGTGATATCTCGAATATCGTACCAACTGAAATATAAGCCGGCGTGGTGCAGCACATTCAGTTGCTTAAAAACATAACAAACGAGAGATTCAGTTGGGTTCCAGGTGAGTCTCCCGCAAAACCAAATTGGTTTGCAACTGAGTGTAGTGCGTTAATTTCGTGCAATTCGGGTTCAAGTAGAACATAAGGTTGACGGAATCTCGGGGGCTGCGCCCACCTGATGAGCCCGAAGAAAGACGAAACAGGTCGTGGGCTGTCGAAGAGTTTTCAGCAACCTTATGAAAAGTGTATTACGTCTAAACTCAGCTTGTTGTTTCGTTCACATCCCTCCCATTGCTTATCGGTGCTAGAAGTTAGTAACCAAGTTGGTCATTACAAGAACGATAGCGCCCTATACAGACGTTGCAGTTCAATCAAGAATGGAGGAGATTAGGCATCTCTCTCTTCAGTGGTGCACAAGCACGCGCAAACGCTGGTAGAATTCCAAATCCGGTGTGATAACCGGCAGGAAAGTACACGCAAACTCAAGTGTCGTTAACCATAACCAGGATATGGAGATCTCTGCAAGTAGAGGTTATTCAACCAATTAGGTTTTCACGAGAGACTCAACTGAATCTCCCGTTTATGGTATTCTCCAACTGAATGTGCCGCACACAGGCCGCCTCACGTTTCATTTGGCACGATATTCGAGATATCGCAGTATATTTTCATAAACCGGTCGTGGGCTGTCGAAGAGTTTTCAGTAACCCTGTGAGTAGTTTCATTTATGTGGGATATTTACATTTAGAAATTCGCAGCCGCCTCCCAGAATCAGAAATTGTACAGTCAACGTTCCATTAGATTTTCTGGAGAATATCAAGAGGTAAGCTTGTTCCCAGTCTTCCCTAGTGGTAATGAACCTCCAAAGACCCAAATTTGGCTCACTCATGATGGCATTTACCCTTGAAAGTGACCAAGCAAATGAGAGCGTTATGTACGCTTTCGAAGTATATAAGACCGTCATCTGGTCACCATGTCACTTTGTATTCGTTTAAGGAATTTACATACGACACCTCGAGCTAATGGAGTTGAGAATTTTGCACTCGGCTTTTAATTGTAATCTTCTCGTTACCACACAAGAAATTCCTTGAGGGACACATTCGGTTAGACGCCTGGTTTAATTTGTCTCCGTAATCGGTCGAAAACATGAGTACCCTCGAGCGTGGTGCTCGCTTCTCCATATTCAAGCAGTACCATGCTTACACAGTCCAAATGCACGCGTCCAATAACCGAGTTAATAATCCCAGTGTCTGTGAAAGGACACTACGAGAGAGGCCAAATTACGTCTATGGAACCTAAGAGGAAGGGAGATTGGCAATGTTGTGGAATGTAGGAAGGGAGATTGTACAGAAACCATGTAGAATAGCATACATGGTGATGGAATTAGCTTGTGCTTACACACTTCACATACCTTTCATATCCAAACGTGCCTCGCTGCTTAGCTTCTCCACTTTGATTGTATATACGCCCAGGTCGTCATCTTGCAGTGATTGAAAAGCCAAACGTTGTATAGTACCATTGGCGTCATCCTCAACGCGGATGCGATCAGGTAGGCGACCAAGAGGTTTTCCCTCCTTCAGCCAATGAACCTTATCTCTTGGAGCGCGGGATAGCTCACATTCCAATATCACAGGTCCATCAGACACCTTTGTCAAAAGCACATCTGATAGTGGACGGACGAATTCCAGCGGAACACCTGAAGGAACAAACGAAGCAGCTTTACCAAACAACGGAGGCAAATCTGGAGGATACATGTGAGAGACAGACCGAAATGGAACGCAAAATGGCAACCTCTAAGATGACTAGTATTTTATATTTGAAACATTTTCAAAACGATTAGTTACTCACCCAATTCCACTGGATTAGACGGTTCCGATGGTTTGCTCTTGCCAGCCTTATTCTCAGCCGTCACGCGAAACTCATAGCTCGTGAATTCTTTCAGACCCTTTGACGGTAACGTACAATGCGTCTCGGTGATGGTGAAATCAGCGGACACATCTTGCCATCGTGTTGCATCCGTCGGCTTCATTTCGAGGTAGTAGTTGGTCACAGGTCCGGCACTGGTCGCTTGGTCAGTCGGCTGTTCCCACGT